GTGCCGCTTTTGATTTACTTTCTACCAGGGAAACACTGCTTGCAACTGCTCCCCCAAATTCGTTACCGTTTGCAGTTAGGAAGCAGTTTATGAGAACCAGCTAGGACAGACATTTGCCACTGTCCTAGACAGATACATGGCATGAGACACAGTGCTCCTCTCATGGCTCCTTCAGACCTGAAATTATGTATGTTGTTTTTTTCTCTCTCCATTTTTAACCTTTTGTTTTCTTATTGTTTAGACTAGGGCATTGCTGGTTTCCCTATGTATATAAGTCAGACATGGGAAGCAAGCTCGGGGAGAAAGCAACATGGCCAACAGCCCTTGAGGGTCTGGTGGGGAGAAGGTGGTTGGGGGAGCGGAGAGGTGAGCAACAACGCCATAGACAGGGGAACAACTAGGGAATAAAAACCAACATCTTGGAGGTTGTAGAGATCCTGTGGGTATTAGAGCAACACAAATCTCGCTGAGCGGAATTACTAAAATGGTGCCTGGCTCTTAAAAGATATAGCATCGGGGGTCTTAAAGGCTTGAAGTTAAACAAGCCACCATCCAACAGTGAAGCAACAAGGCCACATGGAAGAAACACACCAGCCATTGTGATCTTGAGGTGTCATTAGGACCGTGCAGCAGGCATCAGAAGATTCATAACAAGCAAACAAATGAAAACGTGTTCATGAGTATGACAGGGAGTCGAAGCGGAGACCCAGAGCCTATCTGTAGACAATGGAACATCCCCCCACAGTCACACAGACAGGATGAGTCAATCAGTGCAGTAGAGCACCAATGGATTATGCAATATATCTCTAGTTCCTTTAGGCTTCCTCACCCTATACTATCATGACCCCAGTGCTGCTTCCCACTCTGGACTGGACCGGAGCATGTACATCAATCAGTATAGGCAAGAGATAAAGCTCATGCCACATGAAATCCAGGAACAGGAATGTGAATAGTGATATCAAAATGGCAGGGGGAAGTGGGGGAGAGGTAGGGCGGAGGGGGGCTATCAATCACAGTGAATAGCACATAACCACTCACCCTTCTACAGGCGGAAGAACAACAGAAACTTGAGGGGAAGGGAGACAGCGATTGGTGTGAGGTATGGAAATACTAACAATCTATAATCTATCAAGGGGCCATGAGGGGGGAGGGAGGGAAAAAAGAGGAGCTGATATCCAAGGGCTCAATAGAAAGTAAATGTCTAGAAAAGAATGATGGCAATATATATACTAATACATCTAATACAATTGATGTTTGGATTGTAACGAGTTGTAAGAGCCCCCAATAAAATTATCTTTAAAAATAAAGTTACTTAGCTCTGCCATGTAATGCAAAAACAATCTTAGACAATATATAGATGGATGGGCATGGAAACTGCATTCCTGCACTCTTTTTTTTACAGAAACAAGTGGCTTGTCCCTAGTCTAGTTAATAGACTTTTTTACTTCCCTGTGAATTTGAATTATAAGCTGTCTCCATTATACAATATTTTTCCTATAGTGTTTTAAAAATTGTTGTAAAAATAAATATCAAGCCTCTTGTAGTTCTTAATATAAAGATAATAATTAAGAAAAATTAAAAGGCTCACATTTGGCTTTGTTTCTGATTTGTTACATGGTACTGAATGGACCATTTGGCTCCCTCATTACCATCAAACAATCCAATCATATTCTTACCTCAGGAAATTTGCAGCATTTCATGCAAATAGCTG